TATGGACTAGAAATCCCACAAAATCAGAAGCAGCACACAAGACAGATGCTACAAAAATGGAAGGAAGAAAGCCCACACCACCAAATCGCGCAACAAAAAAACACCTCAAATCAACCCCACAAAAATCAATCTTCGGCTAGCTTCGGGGACTCCTCCACCGAGCTCACGCTCTCGGTCGGCCGAGACAAGGCAGTGAATAGTACTCCCCAAATGCTTGCCGTGCAAAGGATCGAGTAAGAAAGAGGAAAGTCTAGGGAAGCCTACCTGTTGATCCGGTCGCATCGGATTTAGATCCGGTCGCTCCAGCCCTCAATCCACCACCGGGGACGCCACCACCCAAGATCTGTCGCTTGGTGGATGGGCTCTCCCTAGATCTGCCGTCGGGGAGCACGCCCGCCCTGGATCCACCGCCGGGGGGCGCGGCCGACCTAGATCCGCTGTCGGAGGACGCCACGCGTGCCGCCGCCACTGGTTGGGGCCGTCCTGTGTACCGCCGCCAGTTGGGGCCATCCTATGCGCCGTCGCCACGGAGGGAAGGTGGGCAAGCGCCACCGCCCCGAGCGCCGCCACCGCGGCACCGAGAGAGGGAGAGAGGTAGGCATCAGAGGGAGAGAGAGAGAGAGGTGGGCGAGTGAGGGAGAGAGAGAGAGAGAGAGAGAGAGTGCACCATCGGGTGAGAGAGAGAGAGAACGAGAATGAAACCTTAGGGTTTGGGAAGTTCAGCGGATGGTTTTGTTCCTGGTGGGACGAACTTCGACCGTTAGATTTAGATCAAGGGCTTAGATCGTTGACAGCCTTAACATGCCTGTGGGGAAGTGAGGCCCAAGTCCAGGTTTGGAGCCTGCGTGTTTCGACGGCGGCATTTTGTAGGGGCGGCTGGTGATTGAGCCGCCCCTACAAATCGCAACACTGGGGGCGGCTGGTGAGTGAGTCGCCCCTACAAATCCCACCCATTTGTAGGGGCGGCTCGTATCATCAGCCGCCCCTACGGTTCCATGTGTAGGGGCGGCTGATCTCGTGGCTCCCGAGCACTCCACTGTAGGGACGGCTCCATCAATAGCTGCCCCTACAAAAAATTTATCCCTTTGCTACAAACCGTTTTTCACGTAGTGACGTGCACGGCAAGGCAGGTGTTCCTTATGATCAGAGATGAGTGCTCTCTTTGGGCTCATGCTGGAGGAAGGGTCCTGAGGCCCCTAATAGATGCAAATAATGTAGCGAGAAATTAGCTTTTGTACTCTAAAGTCTGCTGCATGGGGCTGCGCTTCTCGCGCATGTAGTCTTTAACTCTATTTCGTCGTTTTCTAGATCACGTAAAAGGTTTGCACGTCTTTGTATTAAAATAGAGAAAATGTTTAATACAACACGCCTTAACGGCGCCCTAGGTGGTCATAAGAGATATACAGCTTGTTCGTTTGGCCGTGGCTTATCTTAAACGATCGTAAATTTCTAGCCGGAACAATATTTTTCTCTCACACAAACCAGCCAGCAGTATTTCTTCACGAACCAGCCAACCGAACAGGCTGATACATGGATGCTCGGATCCTCCCTAGTGCATTGAAAGTTATGTTGTTACATTGTACATCGATCAACCCGAATTTCTCCCTTATTAATATATGCCGGATAACCAGATCTTTAAAAAAAAAAAAGGTAACCACCGCTAGCAGCCTCACACCCATGAATCCAAAAGACGTCGATAGTTGACACCGAAGAGAGGAAAAATGAGCACCAAGTTGTCATTCCCAAGCTTCATCATTAAGCAGCTCCTAATAATACTCGTGCCACCGTTTATCTAATCCAAGGAAGAGAGTCTCCAGATCGACGCCTCCAAGAAGGTTACAACATTGAAAGATGGATCATCGTCTCCATCGTGGACACGCAAAGACCAAGGTTTCATCCAGAGTTTCCGCATTGATCGTCAAAGCATAAAGATGAGGGAAGAGGTTTCACCACAGCGCCTCCAAGGAGGAGTGTGTAGCCACCGCCAGCCACACCAAACCACGCCATATCCATATATCGAAGCATATATACAATATCCAGCGAAAATTATAAATTTACATGGGAAAATGTTTTCTTCACCACTAAACTTGGTAGCCACGTAGGAGTACTCATATTAGTGGCTCCGATCACATGGCTGGCTGGCTCTTAGTGCTACTTGTACTCCTACTAAATATGTTGGCCCCGGCACGGTTATTTGCTGGAAGATGGACGATGGCGACACGATGAGAGTCGATCCGTGTGGTCATAAAACCCCCCAAAAGGCGCTTTGATTACAGGTAGTTTAGGGCGTGGATCAAAGAGCAACAGAGACCAGTCGTCCCATCGTCATCCTTTTTGCAAATTGTGGTACTACTACTAGCCGACACTCATCATTAGTCCAATCAAAATCATATCAAGCGGCCTAGCTAGCTTGCTCGTCAAATGGCCGAATTCCCGGCCGGTCTTAATACCGAAAGGCGACGTATTCGTGGAAGAGCAAAACAAGTGGCTAAATCATGATGTTGCTAGCTGCGACGACACGTACTACTTAGAAGCATGTGTTTACCTATAGGTCCAAAAGTGTTTGTGCATTGCATGATTGATTTTTTTTGAAGGATTTGCATGATTGATTTTCTTCGAAATGAAAGAAACTTCTTCACGGTGAAATAGAGTAGTCGTCGCCTAGTCGGAACGTACGAACTGTGTGATATATGCATAATGCTTGTTGTCCTTCCCTTTTTCCAACTATAGGTGTAGGTATTATTTTTATTTGTTGATGAATTATCTAATTTTATACATGTTCGTCCAAGGGATAACGTCGAGAGGTCGAGATTATGGCTGTGCGATGCAAAGACCTCTATGGCTCTATGGAGGACCAGATGATGTGATGTGTCTCCCCAGTAGTCAGCAAACAGCTGGATTATTGGCACACCAGAGAAGAAATTTTAAGTCTATAGTATCTTTTGATTTTTTTTAATGCAGACCATATGATGGCTGATTGCTAATGGCAAAGCTCTCACCTGATAGGGCTGAAACGGTCTGTACCACTTTTTAATACTAAAAGTTAGTATAACTAACTCAGCTCTTGTTTAGTTTTCCTAAACTCCCAACTTTGGCACTATGCAAAAAGAAGATTTCCCGTCACATCAAACTTACGGTACATGTATTGAGTACTAAATGTAGACGAAAGCAAAAACTAATTGCACAGTTTGCTTTAACTTTACGAGACGAATCTTTTGAGCCTAATTAGTCAATGTTTAGACAATAATTCACAAATACAAACAAAATGCTACCGTAGGAAATCTTTTACTGTGTAAAGTTTGCACCTCCGAAGTTGGCCGAACTAAACGCGCCCTCAATAACGGGGCGCGCGCGCGCACACCAAATCATCACTAATAAATCGGTCATGATCAATGCGCGCTAATGATGGCCACGTTGGTACGCCCGATACATTTTCGTCGACAGAAAGGGCCAAGCGATCAATGCACATGTGCATATGCCCTAGGCCTAGGGTATACTCCTACTCACCAAACTCTTGCTAGTTTGGCGCCACCAACAGAAACAGAGCAAAGCCTAGCCAGGATTACTTATGTGGTTGGCAAGCACAAGCTTGGCCTTGGCATCTGCAAAGATGGAAAGGAGAACTTGGAAGCGACGAAAAATGGCGTCACCACGACACCAACTCATCATCGTACATGGTTCGTTCCCTCTGGCTGCGTAACAAGAGACCTCAAGACTGAGGCTGACCACTACACTACAGGCTGGGGTTTGGAGCATGTGAGCTGCACATGACGGTGTCCCCGGCATCGCAGGGTCGTCGACCGTGGCGTCGGGGCACTTGTTAATGCGAGGGCGACGGGGACGGACGGCTCCAGGCTCCAGGTGCAGCGCATGTGGCGCCACGGACAGCGGCTGCAGCTACGAGGAGCCGAGGAGGACATGGACAGGGCCACTGCCGCCGCGCGCGTTGGATGGCACCGGCACCGGATCGGACGTACTGCACCTGCACTGCATGCCACGCCAGCCACCGCGCCTCCCGGCGTTGGATGCGTGCGTTGTTTGGTGCGGGCACGGAGGAGGAGGACGGTGGACGGGTCCGGTGGGCCGGCCGGCCAGGTGGATGGGGATGGGGATGTGGATGTGCATGGCACCATGCAGATGCAGGGGCGACGCCGACGGCAATGCCAGTTCATGAATCACGACGAGGCGTTGTACTTGCCGTGTCCGTGTGCAGCATCGCAGTGGATTGGAGAGCGGACAACACCACGCTGGTTGTTGGCTGTTTGTTTCTGTATAGGCATAAGGCATGGACTTAATACTCGCCGTGCAGGTAGTTTACCGAGTGTACCCTAAAGGTGATTGGCACAGTGATACTAATAACGAAAAGAAATTGAACTTCTATGATAGCACATGGATAGGTCAAAGAGCTATTAGTTGCCTCTTGAATTCGTTAAGTTAAGATGAGGCCCAAGAGAGCATTTATCTAGCTTGACAGTCTCAACGACAATGCACATGGCGCTCAACAGAGAGCATTGTCACTCTCACCTTAACAAAGGACACTCCCGTCCCATAAATTATTGCTGTTGACCTGCTAAGGCGTACACTCCTAGCAGATAACTACTACCTCGCCAAGAGATTTATTATAACCATCGCCTGAAGCAACCTTGGATTGGATAAAATGATAAAAAGGCAAGGGTGAGTTAGGCCTTTCCCAATGCACATTTTTTACTAGTAGCCTCAAGAATCACGTGAGATCGGATAAAAAAAGTAGGTACTTTATACTTGTCACAGTAACTTGCAGAAGCTATGCTGGGGAGAGAGAAGGTGGTCCACGCTAAAAAAGAAGAGAGAGATGAAATAAAGGTGGGACATGATGAAAGCAAAAAGTTTTTGGACAAACCACAAGTAGTGATAATTTGTATTGTGTAAATAGTAATCTCAACATTTCCTAATTTATATAGGTCATTTTATTTGTACTATAATCACTAAGAGTAGCCTCCATGGGTGGTGCCATAGTAGTACTACCTGATCAGCCTTTTTACGCCACAAGGAACAAAAAGTACTGCCAGCAAGAAATCATTTCCTGCATCAACTGGCACCTGAAAAGGGAGCCACTTTCATGGTGAAGAATAAAAAGGGAAAAGGATGACACTTTGTTGGTTGATGAACAGGCTATGGCTACCATTCCTCCAAGAAAATCAGATAAGGGACACAGATAAGGGGAGCATTGTACACTACAGGAAAGGACCTGTCAATGGGCCTGATGGGCAAAACACGGATCAGCCCAAATCAGAAAAGCGGCAAATACGGATCAGCCCAGATCAGAAAAGCCCCAGTTACATTACATTGTACTACGAGTATCTTCCAGCAACAGAAACCATCCAAAAACCAAAACTAGCTACTCCAAGGAAAAAAGCAGGCAAGTACCGGAATTGGAGGGAGCTCAATGTAATTCTATCAGCACTCAATAAAGAATGCTTTCGAAACTGACTTCGACATGACACCACGACTTCAAAATGTGCACATATATACACGATCACGCCATTACATTTTACCGTTGCTCACTAAAGTTTAAATAGCCACGGACCACAATACCTCACCCTACCCAGCTTACTTCAACTTCCACCTCTCAGTTATCAGCATGATTTCACACAATGCGATTTTTTCTTCATGCTACACTACTGTATAAGCACAGTAAGAACTGAAGTCTGTTACAATGAAATCACCAGAACACCACATGTTATGTTGATCCAAACGGTGGTGACTTCAGGACCCAAAATATTGTTTTACGGGAACAACTGCTACAGAAATTCTGTTCCCACTTGCCAGCACATCAGATCACCGGTTAAGCTTCGCTTACGGCTCCCAGATCCTCTTCTGACGATACTTCAGGTGTAACAATCTCTTCAGGCAAATCACTCAGCGAACTATCTTCTGCCTCCTGCTCTTTAGGTGCTTCAGTTCCCATCAATCTCCTTAGTTCCATCTCCAGATCATTTGCAACACTCTTGTTTTCATCAAGGTAAGATTTAAGATTATGTTTACCATTGAAAGCCATATCATTGAAACTATAATATGCGCCACCAGTCTTTTTGATAAGCTTGTGCTTCAATCCGAGTTCAAAAAGCTCAGAACTGCGGCATATCCTCTTTCCAAATTCAAGCTCAAACTGTGCAGTCTTGAAGGGTGGGGCATGCTTGTTTTTTACAATCTTCACAGCAATCTGACTACCTATTGTCTGCAAATGGAAGACAGCATCATTCAAAAGCTACACAAAGTGTCTACTGTTCCGCCGGCGACCGCGAGCCCGGAGGTCGCGGTCCACGACAGTAACCACTTAAAATTGTTGCAAATTAATCCCTGATTTGGATCGCGACTAATGATCGTGATATCACACATACGGAGCGCGCGGCCGCACCTTCCTCTCATCGTGTGATGGTGATCGTCCTGGCGCTCCTGCCCTCCTCCCGGTTTCCCTTCTCTTCCCGTTGCTTATCCACGTGGGGTCGCCGTGAATCCACCGTCTTCTCCGCCCACAATCTCTCAACAAAGCCACCAAATCCAGCTGCTGACTTGGGGGAAGGCCTCCTTTGAGTGAGATCCAACCCTTGGGGTCCATCTCCACCTGCGTCCCCCGCAAAAGTTTGGCCATTTCCTATGTCAGTCACTGCTCTTCTAGCCCAGCTCATTCCATCGCTGGTTGCTCCTGCTCCCGCGGCGTCGAGAGCTCGCCGAAACCGAACCTCGCGGCGGCGTTTCTTCGGTATGCCGGCATCGTTCTCTTAGCTGATGTGATATTTCTGTGCTTGTGGTCAGGGAAAAGAGTGGCCTACTGGCCTTTATGACTTGTCACCGACAGCACACATGGATCAATTGAACATGTGGTGTGTTTAAACTGGTGGTGAAAAATGGGAATTGATTTGTGCATCTGGGGAATGGTTTTGAGCCTTTGGATTGGGACAAACCCAAATGCTGAGCTGTGAAACGACCCGTCTACTTCATGCATCTGTTTTCTACATCTTTCTTTTTTTCCTTTTGCACAACTGTTACCTACTTCCATATGAACAATTGGGCATTTTCTTAAGTGACGCTTGTTCATAGCGACCTTGTATTGAACGCAGTGCTAGTAATGACTAATGAGCTGTATGGAACTTACTAGCTAACACAAACTCATATATTGCAGGCGCTGTCTGATTCCTGTATATTTTGACATTGCTTTCAGCTGAAACAGAACTAACCATGGATGGCACTAGTTTTGACCTGACAGAGCATGAAGGTTCAAATTTGTCACCATTTCTACGCAAACTTTTTAATGAGGTTTGTAATTTTTACATGCCTTAGACACATCATGTCTGCATTCCGATTATGATTTGTATTGAAAGAATGCTAGTTAAAGCATAAACATGAGCGGTTATTGGCTTATTGCAGTGGGACGATCGCAAGATGAGAGGCTTGTTTCACCATGACATCAGTTCCTGTGAAACAAAGGTTTTCTTTTTCATTATCTGATTCTCTCCAATTAACTGGTCAGGTATCTTTTGGGTGATTTCATCTCTCTTAATTTTGCATAATCATGTCATAGGTGCTACCTGGAGAACACAATTTTGTGGCAACATTAATTGAAGGACGTGACCAAAAGAAACGGCCAACTGAGTTCACAATGAACCAAGTCCTCCAGCCATTTGTCAGTGAGAAGTTTAATTTCACAAAAGTTAGCCCATTGGAGGTGATGTTTAGATTCAATGAAACTGAGAAAGACTCTGCACAATATTTTGATGGTGTTCCTGATACTGTTTCAGCTTCTTCTAGTGCCATCTTGATTAATGTCAGTGCGCCCCCCTCTGTCAAATTTACTTAATGCTTTACTGATAGAAATTCGACATGATTTGATTAACATTTTTTTTCATCTTCCGGGTCACAGGTGAGTCCAATTGGCTACTGCCATGTCCTTTTGACTCCCAAGATCCAGGACTGTTTACAGCAGAGGATTGATCAAGAGAGCTTTTTAATAGCCATGTATATTGCAAGAGAGGAAAGGAATCCCTTCTTCAGAGTTGGTTATAACAGCCTGGCGGCTTTGCAACTATCAATCACCTTCACTTCCAGGTTAGTCTTCACAATGTCTATACGTCATATACTTCTGGGTTGCAGTGTGACAATTGACAAGTGTTCGTATATTACAATCCTCTCAGCAAGTCATATACTGGCATTTTGTTCATTAGGCATACTACCTGAAAGTACAGTATCCAGTTGAAAAGGCAACCACGGAGAAGCTCACGAGCCTAGGGAATGGCGTGAGCATTTTTCACCTGGTGGATTATCCAGTCAATGGCTTTTTGTTCGAAGGTGGTTCAAGCCTGGAAGATTTGTCGGATGTGGTATCCAAAGTGTGCATCTTTTTGCAAGAGAACAACAGACCTTTCAATGTCCTCAACTCTGAATCTGGCAAGAGAGTTTTCCTCCTACCACAGGTATTGCCATGCAACCTTAGTTGGTTGTAAATTCTGAACTCTGAAACAATGTTCACAGTTCTTCCTTTAGCAATGTTTTGACATTTATCTCCCTCAAAACCGATTGGTCAGTGCTATGCGGAGAAGCAGCTCCTTGGAAAGGCGAGCCAAGAGTTCCTCGACATGAGAATCAATCCAGCAATCTGGGAGCTCAGTGGCCATTTGGTGCTGAAGAGGAGGAAGGACTACGACGAAGCCTCTGAGGCAAACATATGCAGATTTCTGGTTGAAGCGGCTCTTTCTGAAACAGAATTTCAGGAGTTGAATCGATGCGTGCTCGACTTCCTGACCAGGCTCCCTTGGTTGTAACTCGGATATAGGTTCCTAGAGTGTAACAATTCTGAAGTTCCAGTTAACAGTTGTATTGGTAACTGTTACTTTATGATGGTATATCATGTAGTAGCATTTCTGATTTGACTCATCATCTCTGGAATGAAAATAATATGGTTTATCTGACTTCAATTTCGTACCAAACTCACATAAATCCTGCTGCTGTACTGTGAAGGCTTTCTTCCGGGAAGAGCAGAGAGCCTAGTTGCTCTTCTCGACCCGCTCGCTTCAATTGCAAGAGAGTTTTCCTCGTAACACAGGTACTATACTGCCGTGCAACTTCAGAAGTTCTGAAATTTGAACTTACTCATACGTCACATGCAAGCAGTGGGTTTGTAGCATCATTTGGCATTTGCCTCCCACAGTCGATCAGTGCTACGTGAAGAAGCAACTCACCGGGCAAGCCAAGAGTTGCTGGACAAGAATAGACCCAGCGATCTGGGAGCTTCGTGGCCATTTGGTACTGAAATTGGAGTGGTGAAGGCGTGAAGCCTCTGAGAGTCCGAGGCAAACAAATACATGGAGATTTCTTGTCGAAGCAGCCTGCAGATCTTTTCTGACACATTTTCCGGGGAGTTCAAGAGATTGCGTCCCGGTGTTCCTAACGGTGAATCGATGATGTTGGATGCAACTCTGGATAAGTTTGTAGAGAGCGGATCGTAGTTGTAGGTGGTCAGAAACTGTTCTTATAAGATGTCATGTACTGCTGTTTAGTAGTATACCGACATTAAAAGCTTTATTGAAACCATGTATGAAATGGACTATTAGCTCAGTTGGTTGATCGTCGTGCTAATAACGTGAAGGTCGCAGGTTCGAGACCTGCCAGATTGTATTTTTTTAAAATTTCCCCCTTCAACCAGTAGCACGGTACCTTTTGGCGCCGTTCGTGTGTCCTTAAACCTGGCTTGATCTATTTCTTTTTTTATTTAGAATAGTATTTTTCTCTCACAAATTCCTCCAAACGAACAGACCGTTTAACTTAGTACCGTACTTTTTTAAAAACTTTCCTTTAACTTTCCCCTTCAACTAGTAGTACTGTACTTTTTAACTCTGTACTTTTTTTAAACTTTCCTTTAACTTTCCCCTTCAACTAGTAGTACTGTACTTTTTAACTTAGTACTGTACTTTTTTTTAAAACTTTCCTTCAACTATTACTGTATTTATTTTTTAAAAACTTTCCTTTCAACTAGTACCACTTCCTTTTGTGTTTTTTTTTTACTTTCCCCTTCAGCTAGTACTGTAATTTTTTTAACTTAGTACTGTATTTTTTTAACTTTCCTTCAACTATTACTGTATTTTTTTTAACTTAGTACTGTATTTTTTTTAAAAAACTTTCCTTTCAACTAGTACCACTTCCCTTTTAACAAGTACTAGTGTGACATAATTGCGCCCTCTTATTACTTTCCTTTGAAGTTTGAACTACCACAAGTGTGATATGATTGCACTTTTTTCAACTTAGTACTGTACTTTCCTTTGAACTAGCACAAGTGTGATATGATTGCATTTTTTTCAACTTAGTACTGTATTTTTTTTAACTTTCCTTGCAACTAGTACCACTTCCCTTTTAACAAGTACTAGTGTGACATAATCGCTCCCTAGTATTACTTTCCTTCGAACTAGCACAAGTGTGATATGATTGCATGCAGAACGTTTGTTCGACGAGCCGCTTGACTTCTCCATCTCCGCTGAATCAAAGGCAAACACATTTCCTTTTGTACTTCCGCTGTGTGGATTGGGCGGACGCAGTGTACCGTGTACAGATGTACACCCAATATTATTGGCAAAAAAAACATTACAGTTACTATGTACGTACTATAATATATGTATATGTTTGTACTTGAGACAAATAATCACTACTGGATTCAGGTTCTTTGCCGAGTGCCTGAGGCACTCGGCAAAGGCTATATTGCACTCGGCAAAGCCTTTGCCGAGTGCGGCACTCGGCAAAGCACACACGGCAAAAAATTGATCGGCAAAGCACTCTTTGCCGAGTGTATTTTATCGGGCACTCAGCAAAGGCTTTACCGAGTGCCCCGGAAACACTCGGCAAAGAAAAGCGACCGTCACGGCGCCCGTCCCGTTGATGGTCACTTTGCCGAGTGTCAACCCTACCGGCACTCGGCAAAGATTTTTTTTAAATTTTTTTTTAAAACTTTCTTTGCCGAGTGTCAATCCGTGAGGCACTCGGCAAAGAGCTTTTATTTTTTTTTTGAAAAATTTTCTTTGCCGAGTGCCAAACCTCCAGGCACTCGGCAAATATTTTTTATTTTTTTTTGAAAAATTCTTTGCCGAGCGTCAACCCGGAAGGCACTCGGCAAAGAGCTTTTATTTTTTTTAGAAATTTTCTTTGCCGAGTGCCAAACCTCCAGGCACTCGGCAAATATTTTTTATTTTTTTTTTGAAAAATTCTTTGCCGAGCGTCAACCCGAAAGGCACTCGGCAAAGAGCTTTTATTTTTTTTGGAAATTTTCTTTGCCGAGTGCCAGAGTCACAGCACTCGGCAAAGCTGGAAAATCTATTTTCTGGTCGCCCATTTTGCCAGCTTTGCCGAGCGTTGTGACCATTGCGCTCGGCAAAGGGGTCCTTTGCCGAGTGCAACACTTGGCAAAGTGACCCAAAACGGCAAATATTTTTTTTGCATTCCATCATGACAAATACATTCATACAAACATATATCACATATATATCTCATCCATCACATATATATCTCATCCATCCACACATCCATCCGCCCATATCACATCCATCACAATATATAATAATAAGTGCTCAAGTCCATCCAAATAAGTTTACAAGTCCATCAAAGTCCACA